GAAGATGTACATCCCAAAAGCGAGGTGCTGCTCCGGATCACATAGACAAGAGGGAGCCAATCCCTGATTTGGATCTAAATGTATTTGATTTTAAAGCCTCTGCCTTTTTTACACTTTATGCACAATCAAAAATACATGAATATAACTAGCACAGAGCCTAGCATCTCAAAAAAGCTAAAGATCTATTCATGCCACGGGCTGTATGAAACTTTCTCCTCCATGCGTGTGCCCCACCCAGTCCTCTTGGCCTCAGACTAATCCTCATTCCTGTCAGAAAGAGCCAACCACAGGGGAGCCCACGAGGGCTAGGGATGGGTGAGGCTGGGAAGGTTCCTGGTTTGGGGAGCTGGGTCGATCCCAGAAGAGAGCTGTGGGCAGCAGTGCCTGAGGCTGCATGTCCAGTAGCCAGCTGGTTCCACAGGCTAAAACTGGCTGCTGCTTGAAGTGTCCTCTGCGTGCCCTAGACTGAGTCCCAGGAGACCGCCCTGTGCTGGGCTCCCACCTGGCTCCTGCCTCATTCCCATTGACAGTTCTTTGTGCTCAGAGTAACAGCCCTGGCCCCTCCCAGTGAGGACAGTCACCAGTCCCCAAGCTGGACATGGGAAGTGGGGGGAAGGCATTCTCCACCTCTTTTCCTTGGATCCATCTGTGGGCACAGTGGCTGGATGTACCTCGTCACCAACTCCTTCCCACTCACCAATGACTCACCTACTCCCACTTCCAGTGCTCACTGCCCCCAGTCCCCTGCTGGGGATTACAGATCTCCTGGGACTTACAGAACTCAGATTTTGGAGCAGGAAGGCACTTCTTGCTGGAAAACCGTGTTTTGGCATTTACCAGGCTGGACTTTAAAGCTTCGTGTATACTTACAGTCTCCTTAGTAACAGTAGAGAACGTTTATCGACCACTCACAGGACTTCGTAGGTGACAAGGAAGTGATTCATTCAAGGTCCCTCAGCTGAGAGGTGGTGGAGGTGGGAGTCAACCCAGACCTTGTCACCCCAAGGCCAGTGCCAGAGGACTCCCTTAATTACTTTCTCTGCATCAACTATGTGCTCTACCTGTGTCATGAAGAGGCACCCAGGAGAAATGTAGGATGGAGCAGAAAAAACCAGGGCTTGGAGGGATGGAGACCTGGGATCAAACCTTCTCTCCACAGCTTCTCATGGGACCTTGGGTGGGAGGGTCTTAACCTCTGCACATCCACTCATTGTCATACACAGCTGGTGACAATATCCTTCTGTTCATCAGGAAGATCCATGACTCCACGAGACATTGAACCCAGAGCCTGCACCCAGTCAGTCAGCCCCAGGAGAGCGCTGGTGTGGAAAGGAGAGGTGGGGAGAAACACACTTCCCAGATGGCTCGAGATGTTAACATGTGTTTCACCTCTGGCCTCGGTTTATTGGATCCAGTGGGTTCATTTATAAATAACACCTGCTTCCCGTAGCTCCTACCACGTGCTCTGTGCCACTACACCCCATCTCCACCTTTCATCACTCGGGAAGGATCTGCGCTCTGACCTGGCTGACCCCAAATCTAACCGCTAAATCTGCGGGCTCCTCCCTGTAGGTCCTACACTTTCCTGTCCTTTACCGGCCGTGGGCATTATGAGGAGACCCCAGGGTGTTGGAATGGAAACCCAGGAGTCCTGGGACTCGCCCTTGGCCTCCTGCTGCCCTGCCCTCAGGCCCCAGGAGGGAGGTGGGGCCGGAGGAGCGGACAAGGGTCCAGCTGCAGCTGGTCGAGCTGCACCCAGCCAGGAAGCAGCTTAGGTTCCTGGTTCCCATTGGGGCCAGAATGACACCTGATCCCGGGGGATTGTGAAATGGCAGGAGGTGGCAGCCCGCCCGCCTGCTTGCCCGCTGAGCCCTCCAGCTGCGCCTGTTGGGCCCCGCCCCTCCCCCACGCCCCTCAGGCGTGCGGTTAAATCCCCCCATCCGGGCGGCGCCTCACTCCCGCACCGCCCCGGCCAGCAGCATGCCTACCCGCCGCCTCGGTCTGCTCGCCGCCGCCCTCCTCCTTGGCCTGCTGCTGGGCCTCCCCCCGGTCACAGGTGAGGCGCAGGGAGAGGCCTGACGCCCAGAGGGGCCGAACCAGGAGCCTCTCTGGGAACTGAGAAGTGAGGCTTCCCACGGAGAGGGGCGGAAAAGAGCAGTCCCATGAAGACTAAAATGTGACGACCCCTGGTGCCTAAGGTGATGATCCTTGAAGTTTAGGGTGTGGGGTCCGATGTGCTGGAGGTGGGGAGACCACTGAAGGCTGACATTGCGAGGGGTGGCTCTTTGCAGAATGTGGAGAGTCAGTGGCCAGAGTGGGGACCCTCTGCCTCG